CCAGAGATCAATTCCATTTATGAACCTCACTCAAGTCTCATCATTAAACACATAAATACTACTAGAAACTAATTGAGTCTCAAACATTAAATTAGTATTAAATTTAGTACTAAAAAATAAGTTAGAACCTCTTAAATGTATCACCATTAAACATGCTCTAATGAAGTTTAACTACACCATGATCATTTTATGTTGTTTCTCTCCAACTTACACTCTCAAAAACCTTAAAGGCGTAGTAGTTCGACTTTAAGGTTGTTACAACCCAAAAAGAAACACAAGTTTAAAAAAATACCTGTTGGAAACGTCGAACACGGGTCAATCCACTAAGAGCTCCACTTGCTTCATTTCGGTGTAGCACTCCAAAGTCAGCCAGTCTCATGGGTAATTCTACATACCATACCATAAAAGGATGGTCTCAGCATATGCAAATGATTATAAACTTTACAACTTCACGAGTAAGCTTTATAAAGAAAAGCATTTATTCTCCATATGGTCCTTGTCCAAAAGTCACAAGTAACAGATTCCTATATCTATTTTATAATGAGATCAAACTGCACTACAGGAGCATATTCTTACCAGTATAAGAGGGAACACTGTGTTGGAACATCAAGCAGTGACCAGGGCAATTCATAGGTTTCAGCCCGAATTCTTGTTTATCAATCTGCGCAACAAAGAATAGATAGAAAGTCATTTAATTTCATTTGTTAAAATGTAGACCTACAAATCATGTATTAAGCTTTCCATGCACTCTTTTTTTTTTTGTGTTTGAAATTGTTTCCATGCACTCTTACATCGAACGTAAACATATTTTCCTTGTAGTTAGCAGCATGTCCGGATGTTTCCCAAAGTTTCATGTTGTACATATTTGGTGTAATGACCTGCCAAATTCAAGTTTAATTTAGCAATCCCCTTTTCCACATACAAGCATCAAGTATATTAAAAAGCGAAATGAGAAGTAAGAAAAACCTCTGCGTAACCCCTTTTCCAATATTCATTCTCAATGAATTCCATCAACTTCTTATATACGCGAGTGCCATGTGGAAGGAAGAACCAACTTCCGGGGCTGGATTTGTTACATATACTATCAGTTTTGTGAAATATAATAAAGAGGAATTAGCAAATGTTAGCACTGAAAAAGGAACCTGCGTTCATGACAAAAGAAAAGTTTCTGTTGTTGCCCCAATAGTCTATGGTCATATTTCTTCGCTTCTTCTATAGACATAAGATAAGCCTGCAGTTGCAAAGACAGAATAATAGAAATCATGCATAGTCTAGACGCAGAGAGTAGCTGCCAAGTAAGATTGGACAAGTACCTTAAGTTGCTTATCATCCGGAAAAGATATCCCGTTAACTCTCTGCAGGCTCTCGCGGTTTCTGTCACCTCTCCAGTAAGCTGATGACGCCTGAGATAAATAATAATAAACTTGGTAAGCATAAGAAAACAAACTCGAATTTGTAATGTTGTGTAGCTTCTAGAGAATAGAGAAGCAATTTCACCTTCAAACACTTAAAAGCTTTGACAAAGGAAATATTTGGTATATGTGGTCCACTACACAAATCAACCAAGGGACCACATCTGTAGACTGTAATTGTCTCATCTTCAAGCAAGTCATTGATGGTTTCAACCTTATATAATTAAAAGCATAAGAATGAGTCCAAACTACAAAAATTCACTGTCTAAACAGGACAGAAACAAATGCAGATTATAAGGGATTAAGTCACTAGTTAACACACCTTAAACTCATTATCAGAAAACATCTCAAGTGCTTGATCCTTGGTCACTTCAATCCTTTCAAATCGTAGTTTTTCCTGATATATAGATACATAGGAATAGGATTGGAAACACTATTGAGTGACATATATATATATCATTCAGTTTCACTAAAAGTTTTTAAAAAAGAAGCAAACATATACATCACAAAATCTACTGTAAGAGAAGCAACACCCGAGCAGCTTTTGCAACACCTGCTTCAATGTTGGGAAAGTGTAGCTCGTTTAAACTCAAACCGCCATAAAATGCATCGTAGTAGAAATCCTGCAACAACAGAGAACCAAACAATGATTTCCTCAAAAAGATAAGAGCAAAAATAGAATAAACACAAACAGTGGCTGGTCTTACCTCTTCTCTAGCTTTGCAAGGTTCAATGCATAGTTTACACCCATACTCCTGCTCAAGAACCTACACCAAAAACCATCAAAACCGACTGTGAATTTCGTTGGTTAACTCTCACCAAATTCGATGAGATTAAAAAGTGTTTATTATTACCTGTCCGAGGATAAAAGCACTAGAATGCCAGAAAGCATCACGCCTTTGTCACTGTCAAAACTGAAAAATTCAAGCGAACAATCACCTTCCAGTGGCCTATACATGTCCCAGAGTTCATCGTTAACCGAAGAAACCAACGCAGATTTTGCTAAACCCTTAGAAATCTGCATTGCGATTTCCATTGGAGTTGTCTCCCATCTCGTCCCTTCTATCACTACTTCCACGTTGTTACCATCTCGATATGTAACCCTAAAGTACACAAACACCATAAATTTTTATTGAAAATTTAACAAATCGAAAAACCCTAGCTAGGGCTAACGATAGATGAACAAAATTATCAAAATGATCGTGCATTTACTTGATGGGATCGTGTGGTAGAGACTGAAGATACTCGAGCTGATTAGCTTGGAGATCCTCGAAGAGCATGATACGTTTTGGGATTACGGCAGAGAGATAAGCCTCGTCCTTGGGATGATGATTATTCGCCATC